GCCACCATCTCGAACGCCTTCCAAACATCGATGAGCACCGTGATGCTGGTGAGTCCGAGCGCCCGCGCCGTCTCCGTCTGCAGGTTGAGGTCGAACGCCGCGTCGGAGGAGGACCGCCCAGAGCAGTTGCCCCACACATGCGGCGCACGGTGATCGCGTTCCCACGCAGCTGCTAAGGGTCGCCGCGCCCTTGACCACCATCTGATCAACGTGTGGAGCAGCCCGACCAGCCGCGAGCCGCCGTCGTTCTTGGGGAGGCGGACGAGGGCCGTGGCGATCCGTTCGGCGGGCCAGGCAAGCTGCCGCTCGCACGCCTCGAACAGGCAGCAGCAGACGTCGAGGCCCTCGTCGCTGAGCTGCGCAAGCAGCCGCGGTGGGATACCGGTGGGCCCAACGGCTGTCTTGGTCGGGAAGCTCGGAGCCGCGCGACGCAGCTGGTCGACAGAGAGGGGCGGCAGCTCGGGCCAGGCACTCGCCTCGGGCGGGGGGCGCGGGGGCGGCAGGCGATGGTGTTGCCAGACGGCAATGCAAGACTCCAGGGCCTTGTCAGCCAGCTGATGCGGCTGGGCTCCCAGGTCCGTGATCTTCGGGAGCTCGAGTCGCTGGCGGACCTTGCTCGTCCTGTGCGCTGCACCAGCGCCCGCGGCGATGGCCTGCTTGGCCCAGGCCCTCCATTCCCGGTCGAGGCGCGCCTGCTCGTGCTTGGCCGCCTGCTCTGCGGCGTCGGCCAGCTCCTCGAGCCGACGGTCGTAGCTGGGGTCGGACACGGCCACGAAGCCAGCGGTGAACAGGGACGCGTGGGCGGGCTCGGTCTTGCCTCAGACATCGGAGCGCTGCGCCACGCGCTGCAGGAAGGTGTACATCTGCGTTATCACCGCGGCGACCTTGGCCATCGGGATGGCGTCCTGGGGCTGGCGCCCACCGGGCGCAGCATCGGAGCCGTGGCCGGTGGTCTGGCTCATGGCCCGTTCGACAAGCCGCCGTGACCGTTGTACCTGCTGGGCCCAGCACGCTGCAGTAGCCAGGGCGACCGCGCTGGAATTTGGCCGGGCGCGCCTCTGCGGTGGCTGCCAGGTGACCCGCTTCCAGCGCAGCTCCACAGGCCCCGCCCGGCCTTCATGGCTTCGGCGACTAGGCCCCACAATGTCACAGCGGTCCAACAACTCCGCCTCGATGCCATCTAGGACGCCGTCCCAGGCCAGCACGAGCGAATCCTCGTCGCAAATGGCGTCGATGCGCCGCTGCGCCCGCTCCCATAGCAGCCAGCGCGGGAACCGCGCGCATCCCACGGGAGGCGCAGCAGGTGGTGCACGCGGTTCACGAAGCTCGCGCTTGACGATGGCACGCTCTGCGGCTAGCACTGACAGCACGACAGGCCAGTGCGGCCATGTATCCACCGTGACGTCGACCAGAGGGGTATCCCGGACCCGCGGGCGCAGCCAGGTAGGGACGATGAAGTAGTCGATAATGGTCCCGGGCTGGGCCTGGCGGTACGTGGGGACGCAGGGCCTGATCACGGTTGCGTCGAACTTCGCGAGCCAGTCATTCTTGAGCAGCGCCTCAGGCTCCATGTTGAAGTCGCCGCCGAGCAGCCACGGCTGCCCTCTGGCAGACAGCCGCCGCAAGAAGCCGAATACGCGCGCCAGGATGGCCGTGTTTTCGGGGGAGAGGCCTTCGCCAGTGCGTAGGTCTATCGAAACGCACGAGGCCCATCGGGGTGCCCCGCTCGACGTGGGCGGCAGCGGCGCGACCAGGAACCAGTACGCCACCAAGAGCACCATCCACCTCAGCGATCGGGATGTCGGAACGCACCACCACCGCCGTGCCTCCGACGGTGCCATCGGTGCCAGCGCCCTCCAGGGCGGGGGCCCACGCAGCGCGCCAGCCGAGGTCCGCCAGGTCCGCCTCGAAGTTGGCCAGCCTGCTGCCCAGCCGATGGTGTTCCTGCGCCAGGATCACGGGTGAGGCCGTGCGCTGCAGGTACGCTGCCAGCGGCCCCGAGTTGGACGTGTTCACAATGGTAACGGAGGCGGCCCACTACCGCTGCGGGCGGCGCGCCGAGAGACCGGCGCCGGGAGAGGAGGCCCCGCTTCCAGGCGCGTCCACAGCGCCCGCGGCCCGCCCGGCGGCCCCGGTGCCTTGCCCCGCTGGCTGGCTGGGGCGGTTGCCGGAGGAGCGGTCCGGCAACCCGAGCTCGGCGGCGCCCGGCGGCGCACCGTCGGCCCGCCCGGCGGCCCCGGTGTCCTGGCAGGGGCGGTTGCCGGAGGCGCGGTCCGGCAACCCGAGCCCGGCGGCGCCCGTCGGCGCGCCGTCGGCCCGCCCGGCGGCCCCGGCGTCCTGCCCCGCTGCCTGGCAAGGGCGGTTGCCCGCGCAGGAATTGGCCGAATCCGCGGCCGACTCGGCCACGCGCCCCTCGGGCGGGAGCGACGGGGCCGCCGCCGCGGCCACTGGGGATGGCCATCCGGGCAGCCAGTCGTGGTCGCAATAGGCCTCGGCGTCGAGCTCCTCAAAGAAGCCATCGGCATCGTCGAGGGGAGGAAGTCGGCCGCCTGAGGTCAGGGAGGCCACGGCGCCAGCGGCCTCGGCAGTGGCCTCCAGCTTCCGGGCGGCCTCGGCGGCAGCCCCAGCACCCCGGGCGGCCTCCCTGGCGGCCCCAGCGGCGCGCCAGAGCGATTCTGGGCCGCCACGCTCCGGGCCCAGAATCCCGCCGCGGCTGGCCCCAGCGCCCGCGGAGGCCCCGGCCAGCCGCCCGACGGCCCCGGCGGCGGCCCCAGCGGCGCGCCAGAGCGATTCTGGGCCGCCGCGCTCCGGGCCCAGAATCCCGCCGCGGCTGGCCCCGGCGCCCGCGGAGGCCCCGGCCAGCCGCCCGACGGCCCCGGCGGCGGCCCCAGCGCCCAGGGCGGCCTCGACAGCGGCCCCGGCGGCGGCTGCGTGGACGAAGTCGTCCGCGCAGGGAGGCTCCAAGGCGGTCTCGTCGGCGGCCCCAGCGTCCCGGGCGGCCCCGGCCACGAAGGCCGCGGCAGCGGGCTCAACCTCAGCACGGGCCGCCGGCTGTGTGAGCCGCAGCCGCGGGCTCCTTGTGGGATCCAGTTTTGCGCGCTTGGCATCTCGAATCGAGCGCTGCCACCGGGCATGCCGCTCGGCTTCGCGCTTGACAGCAGCGCGAATGTCGGGTTCAGACGCAGGCGCGTCAACGCCAGCGCCTTGAAGCAGCAACCTACACGTCTCCAGGTCCGTCTCGTCGTCCGCGTCGACGGCCATGTCTTTCGCGGGCGGGCGGGCGGTGGCGCGGCGGCGCCCGCAGGAGCCGACTCGGCCTCAGCAGCGAGGCGCTGCTTGTAGGCCGTCTCGGCGGCGCGCAACTCCGCGACGGCCTGCGAGAGCCGGCCCTGGGCGTCAGCATCGACGCCGCGCGTGTGCAGGAAGCGCTCCAGAGCAGCAGGAGCAACGCCCAGACCAGGAATGAGATCCTCGGCATCCGAGGCGCCGCCAGCCGGTGGACCAGGGAGCCCCTTGAAGAGCTCCGCCTGCTGCTGCTGGAGGCCCACGAGCTCCGCCTGCTGCTTGACCAGGACGCCCTCCAGCTCCGTGACCTCCTCCTGCGCGCGCTTGGCGGCCTGCCGTTTGCGCTCCAGCTGGTCCTGGGTCTTGTTGATGCCGAGCTCCGCCTTGTGGATGCGCTGCTGCGCGAGCTGGACTTGGGTCCCCACTGGCTTGGCGGCCAACTCCTCCTGCTTGAGCTTGTCCCGCTCGGCACGGAGGGCGTCAGCAGCCGCGACCACGGTTGGCTCTTTGACGTTGCCGAGGTGCTCGAGCGTCTTATGGATTTCAGCGAGCCGGGCCCGACGAGCCACCCCCAGCTCGGCGCTGTCAGGGGGCGGGGCAAGGGCGCCGCCACCCGCCCCAGCACCAGGCGGGGAGACACCCCCCGCAGAGATCGTGAGGGCGTCCTTGAGCTGGCGCTCGAGCGCGGCGATGCGCTTGGCCTGCTACTTGGACTGCTTGTCCTGTTCGGCTCGGCGCTTGTCCGCGAGCCACGGGGCAACCTGGGACGGCGGCCCAGAGCTGAGGTCCTTGCACAGGAAGGCGACCCCTTTGGATTGGCCGCAGCTGCGACACTGCAGCTGGTGCGCGAAGTTGACGTAGTTCTTCCCGCCAGGCTTGGGGCCTGCGCAGAAGCGGCACTGCCATTTGGTGCGCTGCTCGTCGCGGCGGCCCGGGGCAGGCGGCCTCCCGCTGCCTCCACCATGCCCGCCTCGACCAGCACGAGCTGCACCACCCTTGCTCTTCCCCGCGCCGTCCGCCATGGCTCCGGCTGCGAAGTTCCTCCCGGGAGTGTCGCACACTCAGGAACTCGCAGGAAAAGGGCGGCCACGCAGGCCACAAGCAAAGCGGTGAAGCAATAAGATTTTGGCTCTGCCAAGCACCTCCCTTGGTGCTCAGAGCGCCTCGTTGAGACTTGCACCCGACGGGAGGGTGCCATGGCCTTGAGCCCAAATGGCTACGGATTTGTGTGTGTGTGTGTGTGTGTGTGTGTGCGCGTGCTTGTTTTCACTTATCTCGGGAGGTGTCCTGGAGCCTTGGAGGATCTCCCCCCCCAGAAACAGCACTTGAAACGGTGGCTCAAATTCGTGGACGCTCTTTAGGTCCCTCGGACTCCTGCAGGGATGTCGCCGCACTGACAGGAGGGCCCAAGAGGCCTCGAAACTCGAAGAGGGCACCAAGAGGTTCGAAGGGAGCCTCACGAGACCAAGTCTGCCCAAGAGGGCCTCACGATACCCCGACATGGTATCCATACGGTCAGAGGCCCCCAAGACGCCACAGCTGGGCCCTAAAGGGACCCCCAAGAGGGCTCCCACAAGCCGAAACCATGTTTCCTCCCCCCTCCAGCAGGTTTTCGACAGATGTTCGCGTTCCGTCCCGCGCTCGTTCTATCACATTTCTTCTCGCTCCTCGCCCGATGTCCACTCTGTCGACGGGACTCTGTAGCAGTCGCTGCGTCATGCTGAGGACGAGATGGAAGAGCAGGACGAGTCAAGGGGCCGCAAGCCTTGCAGGAGCAGCTCCGTGTTCGCGGGCAGGGGATCTCCCCTTCGCGTGCCGCCCTCCTGCCGGCGGCAGAACTCCAGTATCTGCTCCTCGTCCATGGGGTGGTGGTACTTGAAGAAGGGGGGGGAGCACACAAGGGTTCACCTACTCCACCCTCACCCAAGACCCCCAAGAGGCTCTCGAAACGCAGAAACATATGGATTCACACTGGTTTTTGCATGATTTTGTAAATTCCTCTGTTCTTCGGTCTTCCGGGCGTCCGACACTGGGGAGGAGGCCCGACAATCGCCCCAAAACTATGCCGAAAGGGCTTCCAGGCAGTCCAGGAGAACCCCAAGACAGCACAACAGGGTTCTAAGACGGCCCGCAGGGAGCCCCATGACGGTCAATGGCCCCAAGACGTCTCCTGAAGCATACAAAGTCGTGACCCAGTCGTTCAGGGAGACTGCGGTTGGAAGCAGCACGGCCCGAGGAACCCCCCAGAGGCCCCCAGAAGACGCCCAGGAAGCCTCCAGAAGGCCCCAAGAAGCCCTTCAAAACTTTCGTGAGGCCCCCCAAAAAGCTCTCCAAGGAGGAGCCTCCGCAAAAATAGCTGAGGAGGATGGGGACTAATTCGCTGGATCGGGCGAGAAGGGGGGAAGAGGAAGAGGAAGCATGAGGGAAATATCATGAAAAAACATGATTATCACGGCGATGTCGGAAAAGGCAACAAGGCGTTATCGCTAAATTGTCAGTTTTACGTTCCTGCTCTTCCGCCTGCATGCTAACCTTCAAGGACTAAGGTGCGTGGCTCGAAGCGCTAGTGTAGTCTTGAGTGTGTGTATATAAATATGTATGAAGCAGTGAAGTGCAATTCGAAGCGCTGTACCATGCAATGAAACTAAATGGAATGCAAAGCGCGGCGGCGACAAGGCGGCGACGACGGCCACATAGCCGGCACACCGACGCACATGCCCAGAGGATGGGCGGCGACGCGGCGGCGACGGGGCGCCGGCGGCGGCCACACAGCTGCCAGACCGACGCGACGCAAATGCCCAGACGATGGGCGGCGACGAGACGGCGACGGCGGCCACATAGCCGCCAGACCGACGCACAGGCCCGGTTCCTTCTGCCAGATATAAAGCCCCCTAAGTGCAAGCACAGTGTGGGGGGAGAAAAGGTGGAAGCAAGTGTGCCTCCCCTCCCCTCAGCTCCCCTCATCGCCCTCCTTACGTGAGGCTGGGCTCTGGGGCAGGTGTACATGTCTGCTCCCCTGAAGAGATGCCCGCCGAGGCGCACCGTGTCCTGGTGGTTCCGCGCTGATGAATGCACCAGATACGGGTGCATCACGAGCAAATCCCCCGCCCGCATGACCCCGCCGGGGGCGTCGGCCACCGGGTCGGATGCAGAACCTCCAAAGAGGGACTGCCGAATGAGCAGCCAGAGGTTCGAGATGCCGCCCCACCTCCGCGCGGAGATCAGCGTCCGCATGACGCCCCTGTGCGAGCCGCGTATGACGCCCGTCATCCCTCCGCGGGGCAGCGTGCGGTTCCACGCGAGCATCATGACGCAGACAAGGGCAGGCTTTACCTGCCGAGAGCCCCGAGACTCCACCTGCTTGCCTAGGAAGTGCACGTGCCACGCTCGGAGGAGGGCCAGTCGAGACAGTGGCGGCTCTCCCGCCCGGGGCCCCCACTCTCGAAGCGGATCTGACCGTGGCGACGAGAAGCCTCCAGAAGGCGGAGGACGCCTGGGAGGGCCGCCGGTGTCTCGAGCGGCCCTCCTCCGTCATGCGCCGTCTATGTGCCAGCCGAAGAGCGGCCACCGGAACAGCATCCAGTAAGGGCGTGGATCCTTGACGGGAAGGGCGAACCGCGCGTGCAGGCTGCGTCAGGGACCCCTACGCAGGGACTCTTGATGAACCAGGACATCAGCACGCCCGAGAGAAAAGCAGCCGTGGGTCGAAACCTTCTCTATTCTTCATTCGCTCCAGATAAGATTTGAACTTATGACTTTATCATTTCCGCGTAACTGTCGTTACCCAAGCGAAGGGGGGCTGGGGCCCCAGATAATGGTAACGCCCGTGCGGGGTGGGGCACGTCGGGCAGTGGCGCGCTGCGATCGCCATGGTATGCACGCGAACGCCACGCTATGCCCTGCGAACACAGCAAGGGCCCGCGACCCGATCACCCGCGCAATGCCTCAGAGCACCGGCGGGGCGCCTGCGAGCACCAGCAGGGAGCCCGCGGAGAACTGGCGATCAGCACAGCATGCCTTCGGGCACCAGCATGTGGGCGGGAAGGTCTGGGACTGCCCCCCGACGTGCGATCGCTGCCGTTACCAACGGGTGGAGGGGGTTGGCCCGGGTGACGACCGTTACGCGCGCCAGGGGGCAGGAGAAACGACCTCTTTTCCACATCCTGTTTAACCTATCTCCTGGTTTAGGGGCCCCTGGGTGCGCTTCAGGACCTCTTTGGACGCCCGAAACGGGCACGGGAATAATGGGTACGATGGTCAACAACAAATATTGTCCAAAACTAACAGCGGCCGCTGTTGGGCAGGCAGCCTTCTGTCTCAAATGGACAACGTTCGCGACGACACCGACAAGGAGTCCCGTTCAAGATGATCAGCACATGCTGTCGGCCTTCCCCTGAGATCCGACGTGGCCAAACATGTGAACCTCGTGGAAAAAATCGCGACTGGAGCCCTAGGGACCCCACCTTCCCGCGTCATGTCTCCAGCCCGACCGATCTGTGAGGGCTCTGGGGCCCGAAGCCGGGCGAGCACGCCCGTGGAGAAACGTCTGCAGCACCCGGACCTCGGGGCCGAAGCCCACTCCTCCCGTGCCGATTCCGCTCGCCCCGCACCTCCGCGCCGGCGTCGAAGCCGTAGGCGCCGTGCCCGGCCAGCTGGTCGAGCACCACGCGGAGGCGCCGGGAGGCCGCGGCGTTCGCCAGGGACCAGGCCCTCTGGATCGGAGGGGGGCCGGTCGGGCAGCGGCGGCCCGGCGGCGCGCACGGGGGGGGAAGGCTTCTTACGAGGGGGCCGCTTCTCAAGCAGAGGGCGCCGCCGCTGCGTCCACGGGCAAGTCTCGCGTCTTCAGAGAGGCAGGGGGGAGCTCCCAGGCAGGGCTGGTCCGAAACGGTGTCTTTCGTTCTCGTTGTGTTTTCGTTCTCCCTCGTTTTGTCTTCCATCCGCCTTTGCCGCAAAGCGAGATCGGAACGAAAACGGCCCACGAAATCGCCAAAACACCGTTTAGGTCCAGCCCTGCTTCTAAGAAGCCCCCCCCCTCCCCGTACCCTCCTCTGCGCGGGGCCGACACCGGCGGCCCCCTCGCGCCCGGCCCCAACCTCCGAGGAGGCAGAGGTCCAGACGTCCAGCGCATGGAAAAAAACATGTTGTTTTTCCACCGTTTCTGGCCCAAGGGGGGGCCCTCGCCGGACCCTGGGACCGTCAAGAAGCGACTCGGGGCGGAACAAAAACGGCCCTGGGGAAAGGCTCGCGACTTCTGGAGACCCCGCGCTGAACAACTCAAGACGGCGGACGTCTGGGGTTAGGTCGGGCATGTCCTCCTACAGGGATATCCATCAATCAATCAATTAATCAATCTACCTACCTACCTACCTACCTACCTATCTATCTATCCATCAATCTATCTATCTATCTATCTGTCTATATAACAAAAAGAGAAAACACACAACAACATATTATACAACACATATTTTAACAATCCGAACATGCTGGAACATAGTCCAAAATAGTACAACATTCGTCCCCATACTATTTTGTTCAAAAGCTATTTTTGGATATTCCTCCTGTAGGGGGACAAGCCCGACTTAAGTCTGGCCGCTGCCGCTGCTCGTCCTGGAATGAACTCATCGCCACGGCCGGATTCTCCTCGGAATTCTGGTCAAGATGTGCCACGGGAGAGGCTCCGGGAATAGCGGTATCCGTGCCTTTGCCCTTCCCGCAAAATCGGCCCCAGGACACCTCCTTGGGCCAATCCTGACGCGTTCTGTCCGCGGCGGCTCCACCCGCCCCGAGAACCGACGCTGCGAACAGAAATGCCACCTCGCGCAACATCTCGACCGGAGCCCTAGAACCTTGCCCCCCTCTTTCTGCAGCTGCGGCAATACCCGCCACGTGCGCAAAGCATGCATCTGCGGGGCTCTTCTCGAGCTGGCCAGAGAGGGGAGGGGAAGTCTGTTACGGGGAGGTTGGTGACCAATGGAAGCCTGCCTCTCCTTTGCCGAGCCTGGCGTCCGGATCCCACGTGCCTCCCACGGCCGAGACTGGACTGCGATCGCCTCGCTCGAGCCGAATCTCTTTCATGCGGCCTTGCTCGAGCCGCATCTACCCGCGAGGGCCCCCCTCCCGGGCCCGACCCCCAGCGACGACTCCGGCCGTGAAGACATCGCGCCCGCCGGTTGAGCCAGCCGCGCCACTCGCTCGGGGCGTGACCCGTCCCCCTGGGCGGCTCGCTCCCCCCCCCTCCCTCTCTCGGCCGCTTCTTTGCCTCCCCCCCCCCCTGCATGGTGGCACAACTCGCTTCAGCGGTCTCCCTGTTCTGGCTCCTTCCGCTGGCGCAGACGACCCCTGCCTCGCCATCGACGTAAAAAAAGTGAAGACATCGTGACGCCCGGATTCCGGGGCGCGGCGGCGGACAGCCCGCTTGGAGGCCCCCAAGAAAGGCAGAGGACGGACTGAAGCGCCAGGGTAGGGCCGCCGCTCGCTCGACTGGCCCTCCTCCGGCTCGAGGAGGTCGAACTCCGCCGCGGTCAGGTCGCCCCGGCACTCCCTCTGCAGCGCTCTGCCGAAGTTCATCCGCGCCCCATAGTACGGCGACTCGGAGCCGAGCAGAGTCACCAGCTTCTCGTACCAGGACAGGGCCTGGGGAAACCAGAAGGTACCCAGAGCTCCACCAACGTTTCAACAACTCGAGACGGATCGTTTCACCGTCTTCGGCCTCGGGGAGCCCTCCTCGAGCCCTGGGATATTCACCAACAAGGCTCGGGACGAAAAACCAGTCCTGGGGAGAGGGTCGCGATCTCTGGAGACCCCGTATTGACACAATCAAGACGTCGGATGTCTGGGTACCGGTGCCGCTACGTCCAAGACCTCACCCAGGGCAATCTCTGACCAAGTTTTCGAAGCGAGCCTGGCCGAGGCGACGAGGGCTTCCCAGGAGGCCCAAGGAGGCCCAAAACGAGAGAAGGGCACCGGTATCGGTACCCTTTTTTTTCCTCTGAGGGCCTGGCGCGCCAAGCCTCCCTTCCCCCACGTGGTGGGGTCGCCAACGTCGAAGCCGCGCTCCATCTTGAGGCCGGGGTGTATGACCTGCTCGCGGAGGACGTCGGCGAGGCACTCTGGCACCAGGCCGCGCACGAACACGTAGCCCGCATCCTTATAGGCGGCGAGCTCCTCCGCTTGGGAGGGAAAGGATGATGATGATGATGATGATGATGATGATGATGATGATGATGATGATGATGATGATGATGATGATGATGATGATGATGATGATGATGGTGGTGATGATGATGATGATGATGATGATGCTGATGCTGATGCTGATGCTGCTGCTGCTGCTGCTGATGCTGATGCTGATGCTGATGCTGATGCTGCTGATGATGATGTTGCTGCTGATGATGAGGAGGCGGAGGAGGAGGAGAAGGAGGAGAAGCAGGAGAAGTGGGAGGAGGGCGAGGGGGAGGAAGAGGATAACGAGTCTCTTGGAGGCTTTGATTACCTGAGGGTCTGTGCAGTGTTTTGCGCGGAGTGGAGGGGGGATGTCCTCGGATGTTCAAATGGCTTGGGTGGGACAGGGCGTTCTAGGCGCTCCGAACAGGGAGAGGGAGGATGGGGAGGAAGAGGATGATGTGGGGGAGGCGGCGGCGGCGGCGGCGGCGGAGGAGGAGGAGGAGGAGGAGGAGAAGGAGGAACGATGAGGGGCGTGAGGAGGACGATGATGCTAATGACGATGACGATGACGATGACGATGACGATGATAATGATGATGATGATGCTGATGATGATGATGATGATGATGATGATGATGATGATGATGATGATGATGATGATGATGATGATGATGATGATGATGATGATGATGATGAGGGGGAGGATTACTTCAGGATTACCCCAAGCCGACGCAGTCGAGACGCCTCTGAGGGGCTCACTTAAGAGGCCTGCCTCCCGAGAGACGCTGGAGGACCCACAGACCAATCTAGTGGGTAGCTCGCCCCGCTCACACTTACACTCTTTACCGAGGTCTCTCAAATGGCCCGACCCCTCACGCGGCCTGCAACCACACTTCGTGCACACCCAGTACGGCTCATAATACGCCACTGTGTGGGTCCAATGAACAGTGCGAGAGCCGACTGCAACACGCCCTCGCGCTGTCGTCCTGGAGAACAGGGCCCCTCTCCAACCCAAATCGCGACGCGCGACTATCATCGCGCCTCTGGGGGTGACCTAGAATCAGCAAACCAGCCTCACCCCAACACACACACACACATCCCCCGACCTCCGACCGACGTCCGTCACCGCCCCCTTCTCCGACATCCGACCCCGACCCAATCTCCGCGCGTGGCTTTTCGAGCCGGGGCCCCCCGGAGGACGCCATGATGTTGAAAGCCTCGATCGGGGATCGAGGATCGACCGCATCGCGACGGGGTGGGAGGAGGAGGAGGAGGAGGGGGAGGAGGAGGAGAAGGAGGAGGAGGAGGAGGAGGAGGAGGAGGAGGAGGAGGAGGGGAGGAGGAGGAGGAGGAGGAGGAGGACGAGGAGGAGGAGGAGGAGGAGGAGGAGGGCTTGTGGCTCAGGAGGCCCGTCCAGGGGCCGAGACGAAGATTACGCGGGAGCACGCTGCTGGGCTTGGAGAGAAGCGAGTCGAGCCCTGGGCTTTGCAAGCTCGACTTGCATTCGGGCTGACGTGAGGGCGACACGGTCGGCTGGCGCATCCCCTGGAGCACGGCCTCGGGAACACAAACCTTGGCGATAGCTGTGCGTGTTGGACAGCGTGACGACTCGAGTCATGATGTCATCGCACAGCTCCGCAAGCACGAGAACCGGCCTTGGCATGGGCACCCAAAGAGGCACGGACGCTCTCTGCAATCGGCAGCCGATGAAAGGTCGTGCGGGCTCCTAGAAGGGTCTTGGCTACAACACTCTGAAAGGCCTGGGGGCGCTTTGCCAACCTCGCCTTCAAGGCCTCCCACAATTCACCTCCATCTATCGTGTCAAGCTCAGGAGGAGGATGAGGAGGAGGAGAAGGAGAATGATGAGGAGGAGTATGAGGAGGAGGAGGAGGCGGAGGAGGAGGAGGAGGAGGAGGAGGAGGAGGAGGAGGAGGAGGAGGAGGAGTGTGGAATCGGATCAGATCGACTGGCCTTGCACGTGTCGGAGGGGGAGGATGACCATTCTAAACCGAAGGCTCATCAAGGGTGTTGCAATAAACCCTCCCTCCAAATTCCCTTCTCATGGGTCCCCGCAAATATTGATTGTCACTGAAGGAAAGGCCCCCGTTGGAAGACAACCGTTCTAAAGTTCTGAACCGTGCCAAGACACCAGTTCTGGGACTTCAGCGCCGCGAATCAACGTCACTGTTGCGTCCTGGCGATCCTGAATCGTGCCAGACATTCCTGGGACTTCAACATCGCGAACCAATGTGACTGTCACGACCTGACAGTCCTACATCGTGCCCAAGAGCCGTTTTTGGGTCGCCAACCATAAGAGCACGACTGCGCGGCGCTAAGGCTAGAGCCAGATATGGGAAAGGAGCCAGCCTCCACCAGAGAAGCTCTTGCAAGCTTTGAGAACGAGTGGGCGTGGCGTTGGCGAGGGCCACTTTTTGCAGAGGAGCCGTCGTCCATTCTTGAAGACCTTGCGAACTTTTGAATCGAATGTGCGCGGCGCTGACGCGAGAACCACATCATGAAAACCATCCGCACTCCACCCGTGGAGCTCTTGCAAACTCGTGAGTCGACGTGTGCGCGGAGCTAAAACGAGAGCCACACTTTGAACAGTGCCCACCCTCGATCAGTGAAGCTCTTGCAAGCTTTCAGCACGGATGTGCGCGGCGTTGGCGCGAGAACCACACTTTGAAAACCACCCGCCCTCCATCCGAGAAGCTCTTACAAACTGTTGGAACGAATGTGTGCGGCGCTGGAGCGAAAACCACATTTTGAAAGCCACCCGCCTTCCATCCGTGAAACCGTTGCAAATTTCAAGCTTCAGGAGCATTAGCGGTGGGGAAGTCTCTCAACCGAACCGCCCCGCCCAGCCTACCGACCCGTCCCGGGGTGCGTCGGGGAGGAGTTACGGTACGTCGACGCAGTGGTACCACCTGGCGCGAATAGTAACGCGCACCGTTTTTGTGTCTAGCGTTCGTCCGTAGCAATTTTGACTCAAGCCTGCATAGGCCCAAGTGGCTGCACATCGCGGGCGGCACGGGGTGCTAGCAGCATACCGGGTGCTCACGGAATCCCCCAGACCCGGCACTTGGGCAGGGGAGGAGCGAGCTGTTTCGCGCAAGGGTGAAAAAACAGTCCAGCGCTCCGACCATTCTTGCTTACTTCTTGCTTACCCCCCTCCCCCTCGATTGTGCCCAGGGCGAGTCGAAACGGCTCGGTGGTGCAACATTCTGTCAGGAGCCCGCGGGGGCTCCAGGCTTCGGTCGGGCCTGTCCCCCTTACAGGCGGATTGTGGGCGAAAAAAAACGAGTACTGAACACAAATACTCCCCGAATGGTTTAAAATAGTCAAAAAATAGTCCCCATACTTTCTGATATAACAAACTATTTTTGAATATTCCTCTTGTAGAGGGACAGGCCCAACTTAACTCCAGGGTTCTTCGCCATGCGCTCAATATCAAGATCGGGGGGAAGAGGGGGGGAGGGGCAACGCAGTCCAGGTGCCAATGCGCGGCAGAAATGGTGCAACATTTTGTCGATGTACGTGTTCGTAAGTAAGAAGTGTGGAGGAGGAGGAGGAGGAGGAGGAGGAGGAGGAGGAGGAGGAGGAGGAGGAGCAGGGATGACTTCGCCTCCATGTCCTGACCCCTCCTCGTGCCCCCCCCCCCACCCCTCTCCTCCCTCCGCCCTCGGAGGGAGGAATGGGAAGGAGAGGGGGGGGTTGCGTAAGGGTGCAAACATGTGCCGATACCGCCACTCCCCAAGCCTCCCCCCGGGGCGCGTGCGACCAGAATCTCGAGGATTTTCCAGCCGTGGCACGCCGCGGCGACGAGTGGCGGGTGGCTGTAGGAACAGCAAACAGCACCGACATAACAACTTTCGCAGCTCCTCGCGGATTTTCGTTCCGGGTCTGAGGGCCTTCGTCAACATCGCCGACAGAACCAAGAAGAGGAGGAGGAGGAGGAGGATAAGGAGGATGAGGAGGAAGAGCAGGAGGAGGAGGCGGAGGAGGAGGAGGATGAGGATGAGGAGGAGGAGGAGGAGGAAGGGAGAAGGGGAGGGAAGGGGGGCCTCTCCATTTAATTCTTGTATGAATCAATCCAGATCCCCACTGACCCTGCGCAATACGTGCAAGGCAAGGTGCGGCGGACCGTCTCCCCACCCCACCGTCATAGGAGGATGCGAAATCCCTGGAGGCGGGTCGAGGTTGGCATGGGCTGACATAATAAGCTGGCCCGCAACCAAACACACACACACACACACATCATAATGGACTGGCACGTCAATACAACACATTGATCCACTATCGGATGGAACTCATGTTCCCTTCCGTGGCGTCAAACTCATGCGAAGCAGCATGCTGTCCCCTCCCTGGCGTGCAGTGCGCGCCAGGCGCGGCGCAGGGTGCGCCGCTGGGGGCAGCCAGCGCAACTCCAGGAAACCCACGCGGAGCTCCGAAAGTAAAAGTTTAGGCAGTTTGCTTTCTTCCTCGTGCATGGTCCTTCGCCCTTCTGCTGCGCAGCCGTCGAGATCACGAGCCTGACCCCCGGCCGCTCCCTCCTCCCTTCTTGCCCCTCCTCTGCCTCCGCTGTGATCAGCTTCGGATGCGTCCCGCCGCTGGCCCGACCGCTTGCCGGACCCAACCCGTCGCAGACCCCCCCAAAACAGCTCCTTAGAGCGACGGTGCCAGCACCTCTTCTCGGGCGCACGCTAACATAGCTTAGGGATCTGTGGATCTGGAGGCGTGGGCGCCAGATCCATGGATCGGGGAAGGTGCTCCCGACACTTCAGGCCGGCGCCACCTTGCTTGGCGACCGCCAGAGCGCCGATTTGGTATGGAAATGGGGCCCGTCGCTAATGTACGCGCCTTAACCCACGTTCCCCAGCCACCACCGTGTCAATGTTGAGCTTCACTGTTAATGCCTCGCTCTCCTGGGGCTCTGCTGTGCTCTTGATCGGTAGCACGTGTCACGTGTGCGGAGCTACACCATATACATGCCGCGCTTTCCCGTGGCCTTGCCGTGCTCCTGCTCGCAACGCACGCCGCCAGAGGCGGCGGAGAGCTCGAGAGACCCATCCACGTAAGTAAAGACGGTCAGCGTTCCCTCGACTTTCCTCCTCCGAAGGCGGCGGACCTCGCCGCCCCGCCGCCTGGGCCGCCCCCCCCCCGCGACTCCTCCTGCGAGAGCGGCCGCGGCTCGCCCGCCAGCGCCGCCTCGGCCTCCGCGATGGCCGCCGCGAGCCGCTGGTGCGGGCCCATCGGGCCGCCCAGGAGGGCGACACCCCGACACGCGAAGCCGCGGGCGAGCCTTCCCCAGGCAGGCTTGCCCCCCCGGGGTGAGCTCGCCTGCGGGCAGACTTGCCCCCGCGGGGTGAGGGTTGCCCCCGCGGGGTGAGCTCGCCCGGGGTGAGGCTTGCCCCCCCGGGGTGAGCTTGCACCCGCGGGCAAGCTTCCCCGGGCAGACTTCCCCAGGGTGACCTTGCCGTGGGTGAGCTCGCCTGCTCTCCCCAAGGTGCGGGGCTGCCGCGCGCCTCCGCCGGGCGTGTGTGTGCTCGAGCCGGGGGGCGGCCGCAGCAGCGGGAGGGGGCGGGGTGCTACAGGAAGGGGAAGCGAAGGGGGGGGGGGGGGTGCAAGGGGGCAAGGCGGAGGGAGGGGAGGGGGAGGCGGAGAGGGGGGAGCGAGGAGTGGAAGCGAAGGGGGCGAGGCGAGGCGAGGCGCCGAGGTACGTCCAGCAGGACGGCCCTTCGAGTGCACGGCGGTTGGGCTGGAGTCTGGGATGCACTTTGGATCACTGTGAGATTGATGAGCGTAAAAGCTCGCTCGTGGGGGAGGAGGGAGGGTGCCGACGACGACGACGACGACGACGAACAGCAACAGCAAGAGCCAGGACAAGTTGACAAAACACCTACACTCCAGAAAAGGCCTACCAAAGGCCAACGCATACATGCCAACATGCAAACACCAACTCATGAGTGCAAACATGCATGCGGATAGGCAGAAGGGTGGGAGAAGCGAAATGACGCGAGGTGCACTAATCAGCCGAAGGCATGCGCTCCTCAGGAGGCTTACCAGGAGAATAATGATGATGTCCTTGTTGTTTCCTTAGTGATTGCCGACGATTGTTCCTTGGCTGGGGTTGTCTGGCGAACCAAAAACTTCGTGTCCATACTGTCTAAGTTATGGTTCACGCCATCGTCTTCAATAACCAACCGATGTTTGTAAGCATCTCTGGCTGCGCAATCTGCCGAGGATGTATACAACCTTTGTCCACCAAATCTGCGGAGCCGTATTTGAGAGCCATTTTCTGCCTGACTCAGGCTGCCAATGTGGAAGCGAAGGGGGGGAAGGAAGCAGAGAAGGCGGCGGAGGAGGAGGCGGCGGAGGGGAATAATGGGGAGGAGGAGGATGATGAGGAAGGTCATGAAAGGAGGGTCGAATGATGATGATGCTGATGATGCTGATGCTGATGATAATGGTGATGACGATGATGATGATGATTTTGCTGCTGCGGATGATGATGATGATGATGATGATGATGATGATGATGATGATGATGATGATGATGATGATGATGATGATGATGATGATACTGATGATGATGATGCTGATTCTGATGATGATGCTGATGATGATGATGATGATGATGATGGTGATGATGCCGACGGCGACGACGACGATGACGATGGTAAGGAGGACGGCGGTGATGATGATGGTCCTGATGATAGATGACGGTGGCGACGATGATGCCCGTGGTGAGCGTGACATGGACGATGATCATGAATATATGGTAATGGCGGTGAAGATTGTGATGAGGCTGATGCTGCTGCTGCTGATGATGATGATGATGATCCACTGCATCCAGGACAGTCTGAAGCCCAGGCTCGAAAGCCGCCCGAGCCCGCACGCTTGCCTCGGCGCCTCGTAGGAAACTTCAGGCCGTGCCCTGTCAGCATCAGCGAGGACCTGCGCAACTCCAGATTGCCGCCTCTTTCACACGTGTGGTAAAAAGGTAGCGGCCGCAACTTGGATGCAAATCCGTCGGCCTCGCCTACAGCGCTGGCGGGGTCACCCAACCGGTCGTTGAGTTCAGTGATCGAGTCCTGCCCTGCGTCGCCTTGCAGCTCCAGCCCGATGGGCCCGATGAGCCCTATGAGTCCACTGGACCCTGTGAGCCTTACGAGCCCTTGGTGCCCTCTACTTAAGACCGGTGAGGCCCTGTCAGCCTTATGACCTCCATGAGCCCTGCGACCCCTTATGGGCCCTGAGTCACCTTCCCGCTCTCAGGCAATCCTCACAAGCCTGCCGTCGACTCTGTAAGGGCGGCGTGAACCATGTCGCTGATCGCCCAGTGCGCATTTGGGGCCCCCTCGTGCTGCCTGTATGATCACGGGTACTCGCGCATCCAGTGCGCAAGTCGCGCACATCATGGCCCAGTGTGCCGATCATCACTCCGATGTTCCTCTGAAGCCTTGCCTGTCGCCCTGAGGGCCCTTGAGCTTCACACCCGGTCTACCCTTTGATGTGACACCTGCACCGCCCCCCCCTGGAGGTCCGGACTAATATCGCTCCTGCCATTCAACACTTGTGTACCTGCTTGCGCTGAATCATGAAGGGGCCCAAGGACACACAAATAAACACACACACAAATGAAAGGATTCCCCATATTTTCTGGGCTTTTGTCTTCCCGCCCAATTCCCATATTTTTCAACATTTTCCTGGGGGTCGACGACTAATTGTGTCTGTGTTTCTTTTTTCTCCCTCCTGAAATCAGTCTGCCTGGACTACGGCTATCGTGCTGCCATAAGGAACGCCACATCAGGAGCGAATGGGCTCTTCTGGCCACGGCGAGCCCAGGGCCACGCATAGACTTCGAGCCCTGAATCTCCAGGGAGCGGGCCGACAACCAGCGCCCCTTCGGAGCACGAGGTGGTCTCACTTCGGCGCTCTGGCCGTGCGGTCGGGATCTTTTGCTCAGCTCGTCGCGGCGGCGGCCCCGGCGACACGCCGTGCCCTGTAAGCGGACAACGTGTCGCCTCGCCCCGCGGCGGGAGAGGCCGGGACAGGCTCGGGATGTGGACGCTAAGGGAACCGGATGCGTTTAGCGTGTCGCGCGCCGAAGGCCCCCCTCCTGTCCTCCGCGGCAGCCCCTCCCCGCCTTCTCTTCCTCTTGCAACTGGGATGTTCGGGTGGCGAGCGCCCCACGGCTTCTCGAGGGCGCGTGCGGATGGTCTCTGTCGCGCTGCGACGAAAGCATGTCGCGCGCCGAAGCGTGGTGGTCCAGAACCGGCAAGACGACGCGCTGAGCAACCATTCCTGCCCGTATTACTCTGCCGGATGATTCCCAAGCTTACCCTCCGAGACATCCGCCGATCTGATTTTCTCAATCCGCGGCCCAGAGGTCTCGACCGCTTCCCCAGGTGTAGTTTTTCGTACCGCATCCATCTCTGATGACCACGGCGCCCCAAAGCGGACCCTGAGGGCCCAGATCGAAACACAATGTCGGGATTCAAGCAAAACATATTGCCAGAGAGCTGGGCTTGGCGCTGGAGGACACTCCGTGCACAGTCCAGTGCGGGGGCGCATTTCTGACGCCCAGCACGCGCGGCCAGGACGATGCGCGGAAAGACTCCCAGGCAGGCCTGCCCCACAGCATGGGGCGAGGAGGACCAGCGGCGAGCAGAAGGGCCCAGGCTGAGGGGAGCGGCCTTCTGCGACGCGGCTGGCCCCTCTTGTGAGAAGCCCGCGCCTCAAGACGCAGAAAGGCTTCTCAGAAGGCGTGCCTCCTCCAGCATCTGGCGCCCGCAGACGTGGAGCATGGCTCCGTGGAGCTGGCGCGCTGGCGCCAGGTCCGTGGCGCGGGGAAGGCGCCCGTCGAAACAGGAGGCCGCTGCCGCCTGCTGTGCCGCCGACTCTGCACGGACGCGGGGCCCGCCGCCAACCCGCGCGCCAGAATCCGTGCTTGCGCTTCCACGACAGAGGGGGCCCCTGAGCAGGTGCGTCCCCTCAGGAGGCCGCCGCCTCCGCCCCGTCCCCTTCCGCGCGCCGCCGAGAGGACAACCGGCGGGCGCCGCGCCAGACGTCCGACGCCTTGCTTCTCCATCGGGTTTTCCCGACCATCGGGTGGTGTCGGGCCTTCGTTTTGAAGAGACAGGGCCTCGCGTCTCCTCTCTCCTCTCCTCTCCCTCTCCCTCTCCCTCTCCCTCTCCCTCTCCCTCTCCCTCTCCCTCTCCCTCTCCTCTCCTCTCCTCCCCTCTCCTCTCCTCCCCTCTCTCCCCCGGGCCAGCTCTCCGCCCCGATCCTGGGGCACGGCGAGGGCTCCCGAGGGCTGGAAGCGGCGAAGCGCCTCCGTCCTGATCTGCTTAATACCTTGAGGTCCGACGTGGCGAGCAAACGTGCCACATCGCGCAACCTCGCGACGGGAGCCCCGACCCCACCTTCTTGCTGCATTTCTCGAGCCGGATCGATTCGTGAGGGCCCGCGGGCCCGACACACGGCGAAAATGCCCGTGGCGCAAGGATCGCGGTGCCCGGATCTCCGGGCGTGGTGGCTAGAAACCTCCAAAAAGCTCAAGAAAGGCAGAGGACGGAAAACGCCCTGGAGGGCCACCGCTCGCGCGGCTTTTGGGGCGACCGCAAGGGTACTCCGCATTTGGTAATGAGCGTGGGGGGTTCCCCCCTTCCCGACGGAGGTCAACCTCAACCTGTCCGCGCGGCGCGACGGGGTCAGATTCGCCCCAGGTGGGGGGCATTTTTGGCGCGGCCGCGTTTGCCCGCGGCGGGGGTCGATATGGGACTCTCGGGGGGGTGGCGCTCCCCCCCCCCACCCCACGCTTCGAGTAGGACTCTGCGCGTGGACGACGACGACGCCGACGACGCCGGACGATGACGACGACGCCGGACGATGACGACGCGGGACGACGATGACGACGACGACGACGCGGGACGACGACGACGACGCCAACCGACGACGACGACGCCAACCGACGCCGACGACGCCAACCGACGACGACGACGACGACGACGACGACGACGACGACGACGACGACGACGACGACGACGACGACGCGGGACGACGACGACGACGCTAGCCGACGACGACGACGCCAACCGACGACGACGACGACGACGACGACGACGACGACGACGATGACGACGACGACGACGATAATGAAGAGGACGCCGACCACTGCCGACGACGACGACGACGATAATGATGAGGACGCCGTCCGACGACGACGCCATTTCGAGCGAGGGCGTCTG